AATTTTCTTTGTTTTCGTTGTGATAACATGATAAGATATTGAGTATCTCATGGTTGTGAATAAGAGAAACAAAAATAATAACAAGTGAATAGATTACATGGAATTATAAAAGGGAACATCAAAAATTTGTAAAGAATATGTATAAGCTTTTTAATCAAGTAACAAGAATTTCACGAAACAAATTATATTAATAAATCTGATTAGTTTTTATCTTAAACAATTATACATAAATTTTGTACAATAATCCCAAGCTAAGATAAAACTACAATTTGTAGTAGGACTCACAATAGCCTTATTTGCCATCAAAAGTTAATTATTAAAATATTTATCAATTTAAAATTCCGTAAAATGTTTCTTCACTGCTGTTTTTTCGCTGCTACATTTAATGTTTCAATAAATTGAAATTTTTATTAATAGCTAATGCTTAAGAGCACATGAGTTCACATCGCCCATTCTACTGATGGTCTCTGGCATACTTATAGATTTCAAGCTACTCAAAATTCAAAATGCTTCAAACATTTTAACTTAGAGGCGAAATCCTTCAAACAGTTTAGAACATAAAATAAAAATCTTTTAAGAAATGTTAAAATGTAATTTAACATAATTTTCAAGAGGTTTTACTAGACAAAATTTAAAAGTGAAATAAAATTTATGAACTTATTTTTTTCAGCTAAGAATACCTAATTAAAATTGAATTTTTAAAGCTGATTATTTCAAATTTCTTTAAAGTTTTACTCATTGTAAAAAAAATAAGGAATCAAAATTAATTTTAAAAATGTAAAAAAAAAATTACCTTTAATTTGTCCTACTTTCGGCATACCCGAACATACAAAGAGCATGCTCAGAAAAGTGAGCATATAAGTGAGTCTACTCAAAAATTATACTCATGCAAGCTCATTCAACTGAGCATGCTCAGGAGTTCATTACGAATGTACTCACTTTATTTTTTTACAAAAACTTTATAAGCTCACGTGAGTGCATTCAATAAGTATATTCTTGAGAATATTAAGAACATACTCACTTCTGTGTGACATAATTTTTTTATATTCTCATATGAGTGCACTTACTGAATGTACTCATGAGCTTATAATGAGCAAACTCACTTCTGTGTCACACAATTTTTTTTATATTCTCATATGAGTGCACTTACTGAATGTACTCATGAGCTTATAATGAGCAAACTCACTTCTGTGTCACACAATTTTTTTTATATTCTCATATGAGTGCACTTACTGAATGTACTCATGAGCATTTAATGAGCAAACTCACTTCTGTGACATAATTTTTTTATATTCTCATATGAGTGCACTTACTGAATGTACTCATGAGCATATAATGAGCAAACTCACTTCTGTGTCACACAATTTTTTTTATATTCTCATATGAGTGCACTTACTGAATGTACTCATGAGCTTATAATGAGCAAACTCACTTCTGTGTCACACAATTTTTTTTATATTCTCATATGAGTGCACTTACTGAATGTACTCATGAGCATTTAATGAGCAAACTCACTTCTGTGTGACATAATTTTTTTATATTCTCATATGAGTGCACTTACTGAATGTACTCATGAGCATATAATGAGCAAACTCACTTCTGTGTCACACAATTTTTTTTATATTCTCATATGAGTGCACTTACTGAGTTTATTCAAGAGCAAATTGTGTACCTTTTTTGAAAAAATGTCAGCTAAATCGAAAACGTTAAAATAATGATTTTTTAAGGAAGCTGACGTTTTTTAAAAATGTCAGCAAAATCGAAAACGTTAAAATAATGATTTTTAAGGAAGCTGACGTTTTTTAAAAATGTCAGCAAAATCGAAAACGTTAAAATAATGATTTTTTAAAATTGGTGCTCAATAAGATCCAAACTTCAAAGAACTTAGTTCGCCTGTAAAAATATAATAATTTAACTATGTGTTATGCCATATATAAATTATTATATATTTACAGACAATAGCTCCAAGGAAAAGTGTGAGATGACAGAAGTTAAGCAACGCAGAAGATATTTCAACAAGGATGGGTGACCAGATTTATATGTTTCATTCTTAGTATTTCAGATAAAATATTAATAATAATTTCTAACTCCTTCAAAATTATTCACAGAAATAAACGAAACAGTACTTAATTTCAGCTAACCTATAATACTCAAATTTAGCTTAATTAATTTTTTGAATTTTGCAACTTCACTTGAGTGAACTCATGAGTGTGCTCAGATGAGCATATACTCATAAATATACTCACTAAGTATATATTCTTTGAGTACGTTTATGAGTATGTACTCTTTGAGAATATTTATAAGTATGTACTTTTTGAGAATGTTCATGAGTATATTCAATAAAAATGTTACATGAGAAAAATGTTGCATGTGACATGTTGCCTTCTCATTTGAGTATGCTCATGAGTTTACTCAATGAGCTTAATACATGTCACATAGGAATGTGCTCACTGAGCATGCTCAAGAAGGTACCGTAAGCGCATCACTGAAATGTATGAAAATGAGCACATTCTCACAAAGGCTAATAGGCTCACAAATAATGTGCTCTGAGCATGCTCATTGTATGTTCGGGATAATTTTGCGTAAACAAACTATTTGGGTAGAAATGCAAATATTTGGGATACCCCAAATAGTTCAAAAAAAAAAAAACACCCAAGCCAACAAAAAATTCCAATTTTCTCGATCAAAATGACGCAGTCTTATGATTATTATTATGTGATGGTGATTATTCATAGTCTGTCGGACCTGACGTCATAGATTTAAAACTTTTAAAAAAATTGTTTAACAATGGAATCAAGAAAAAAGAACATATAGTGTTGGAGCCTTCCTGAACCTCTTCCGCAGTATTAAAGTTGATGAATGACTAATGAAGAATGACATTAAAATATAACCTGCAAAATCATAAATCCATAACGTCATTTCGTCTTTTTCTTGTTCACACTTTTTATTCTGCTCTCTTATATATTTCTTATAAGTAGCATGAAGAGAATCAGATTCACACCAGGTGAATAAACTTGAAGAGAGGAAAGGAAAAAATGAAGAAAACATGTTTCATCCTCATCATACGAACTAAGTACATGTAGAAGTAGTTGATTAGTACCTGACTCAATTTTCTCTTATACGTTTTTTTTCCACTTTGTTCACATCCATTTCATCATTTGTAGACAACAATTTTGTACAAAACATCAGAATATGAAGGATGAAGCCTAAATAATTACGACGCGAATATTTTAATAGATATTAAATTAATTTTCAGTACAATGACGACGCTGTGTCATTTCAAGGTGAGAAAATGGAATTGAGGGTTCTTACAATGATTAATTTTGGAGTGATTTAAACAGAATTAGTGGTTATTAGATCAAGCGTTGCTGACGACATCCTAACAAGCAAGTCATTAACAATTCCGAATTCCGTGCTATCAGGGGCGTAGCCAGAAATTTTTTAAGGGGGGGGCCATTTCCGAAAATTAAAAAAAATTGTTATTTTGTATTCTTAAATCTATATTCATTCTTCATAAGTTTAAATATTTAATTCATTATTCATACATTAAAATTAATTTTTCGTGCTGATTTTGACATTTCTTTCATCACTTCCTCTACATTTCATATTAATTGCACTTTATTGCATTTATTGACGACATACTGTCCGGTAATAATTCACATTTTACACTTTTGTATTTGTACACATATGAATTAGTATTATGTAGGATCAAACTGCTAATCTTCAAATCTAGGTTTCAAATAAACTAAGGCTCTCGTTTCGATCTTCTGTAGGCGTGACGTTATACTTTTCAGGTCCGTTCTAACAATATTCCATTCGTGGGTAATCTTGTAGCTCTCGTTCCCATTTCTCCCGCTACACTTCAAGTTCCTGACCCGTTCCTTAATCCAACGTTGCCCAAAAACCCAATTATGGCTTGATCTCCTACATTAAGCAGTCAAAGTATCTAAATTTCCGAAAAAGAACAAATTTGGAAAATGGCTGGATTCGAACCGACGACCTTCGAGTTACCATCCTAAATGTGAGCCAAGCGCCTTACCAATTCGACCAGCAAGGCACTTAACTGCTTTACCATTAACTGGTTCTTCTCTATAAATACTTAATAAAACAATTATCAGATTTTCGTAGGGGGGGGGGGCCCGGGCCCCCTATGCCACCCCCCCTGGCTATTATGCTATTAAGCCCCTGCGTGCTATTATGAGTGAGCAGGGTTTTTAAGTTGTATGCATAAGTCTTGCAATATTCAAAAGCAAGACATTTCTATTGACGTAGGGGGTCTACACAACCCCCTTTACTACACAAATCCCCCATGTTGCGCTTTGTGATATAATTTTCAATACTGTCCCTCAGCGAGCTTTTTCATATAATTTTGATGGGTTTATAATTTAAGCATGTATATGCTTTTAATCAGCCTTTTTTGACAAATTTTTCTCATCGCATTATTATTGTTAAATTGCTTTTGAACTTGGATTGTTTGATGAACGTAAAATCGCCGTTGAGACTTCGTCAAGCAGAAATTTACAAAATATTAAATGAACCTTGAATATCAATTAAAAACTCGTCGTAATTTAGAATTGAGCAGAAACTTTTCTGTCTGTAATTAAATTAACTTCTTTACATTTGATGTGAAAAATTGCTTTTTCTTCTATTGAATTTTACAATTATTCAATTTTCACTTTTTTATTATTTTGCATGGTATGAGAACATAGCTTTTAAGCTTTTTATTCTTAATCAATTTTATAATTTTTTTAAAATTCAGACAACGAAAATTTTCGTTGAGTCTTCCTTATTGTCTGGCACAATGTCTGAATGTGCTTTCTTCTTCTTATTCCTTGCTGTGCTGTTTTAAATTTTTTATGGTTTTTTATGCGTATACATTTTATCATTATCACTTTCTAGACACAAATATCATATGATTTCACAAAGGTAGTTTTAACTATTGTAGAATCGTGCATTAGATTGATATGTTATTTACTATAGAGTGCATTTGTTTGACTTACCATCAACGGAAGTGAATGACTGACATTCGTTGCTGGGAACTTGTTTTTGCTGTCGTCAATATTATTGATTTCCATTAGATGCTGGTTATTATCCAGGTTGATCAAATATTTCGTTATATTTCTCGATTTTCACAATATTTTTTTTAAATTTTATTATTTTATCTCGGTTTCATTTATCATTGTGTTTTCTCGTCATTTCATGCAATTGATTTTGTCATCATATTCTTTTTTTTTTTATTTTCCATTAAATAATTTGAAAAATTAACTTTTCTATGACTAAAAGCCTTTCTACTTTATTAAACTCATATTTTCTACTTTCCTATATCACTTATGGAATCATTTTTATCCTTAAATTAATGAAATCATTGGCAGATTTGCTGCAATTTAATTTAATTCACTTTTTCTTTTCACGACTTTTTTTTTCACGAATTATGAATTACCCTGTCTTTATATTTTAAGCCACTGTTCGTTTGCAAGACAATAGCTTAGTAAAAAATTAGTTTAATAAAAAAAATTTGCTTTCGCTACGAAGCAAGTCTCTCAAATTCAATGAATCAACTTAATTAAGTCACCGAAAATATATTAATTATTTTTTAATAACACGATTTAAGAGCAATAATAGGATACAATTTAGCTTGGACTTAAAATACTTAAGATTGCAAGAAATTTTTTAAATTTTCTTGTTTGTTCACATTTCTTTAATAAGAAATTTCTTGTTAAGTTGCCTTTTTAAGCCTCTTAGGATTTTGAAATTAAAATTTTTTTGAATAAGCCACTGGCTAGTAGTGTCAAAACAGGGTTGTACAAGAATTTGAAATTTTCAGTTAAATTATTTAGGGCACTTTTTACAACATTTATCTCTTTGGTATAGAAATATTTTTTTATTATCCTTTCTTTACGAGACGGTTAAAGTGTATTTAATATCGGATTCTATGCTATATGAAATTAAATTTATCAAATTAGGTAAAGTAGCTTTATTTACCCGTGCTGTCAGTATTTCGACGGCTTGAAGATTTTGAAAAACCAAATTGGTTACTCGATAAATTAGCCAATATGTTCATTATATCAGGCTTGGATCCTGTAAAATACTTTATGTTGGATCATAGAATTACAAGTATTGTAGGTCTACTTACCAGCCATTGTGCTTGACATCGAGAGATTCATGTCGCTTTCACCCGACGAAAAAGAGGAAAAAATTGTTGGTTCCGATTGCTCTTCATTGAAAATTGTAATTGGTTCAACGAGATTTGATGATTCCTTGTTCTTCTTACCTTTTGGTCTCGCTGTTTTTGAAGTCTTTGATCCTGTTGCCTTAGAACTCTTTGTAGCGGTAAATTGAGTGAAATTGATTCTTTCTTCTTGTTTTTTAAGAGCTTCTTCCTTATCTGCAATTTTATTCTTCATTAATTGCTTAAGTTCCTGGTTGTCAAGCACGTAATTCTTAAAATCATCGACTTTCAATTTAAGGCTGTTCTTGTCTTCAATGCTGGCTACAATGTCAGTCTGAATTTTCTTAAGCTCTTTAAACTTTTGGTCCTTTAAAATATCATATTCTTGATGTTCATTTTCAATGTCAGCTTTTTCTCTTTCCAACAACTGAATTTCCATAACGTTTTCTTCATTCTTAACCAAACCATTACGAAGGATCTTGGCAAGTTCCAAATTATCATAATGTATGCCATTAAGTTCGAGTGTAAGCATATCAAGTACTGTCTGCTCTAAGTTTTCTTCCTCATTCTTCAGTTCCGTATTTAATTTTTGATTGCACTTTTCTTCAACTGCTACTTCCAATGAAAGCTTATCGGTCTCAACAGTCAACGAAGTATATTCATCGTTCAGATTGCTAATCCATTTGTAGCATTCAGCCAGATTGGCACTCAAATCAGAAAATTCCAGCTTCATATTTTCTTCCTGCTGTTCCATTTCCTTTAATAAATCTTTGTGATTCTTTCCACTCAATGATTTAAGTTCTTTTGCCTTTTTGGAGCATTCTTCCTGATCTTTTGCAAGGCATGCTAATTTGGACTCCAAAACTTGTAAATTTGCAGCCGATGAAGCCTTTCTATGTTCCAGTAAAATTTCAGCTTCTTTAATTTCAGCATGAAGCTTTTGAAATCGAATCGTAAAATCCTTTCTGGATCCACGAATATCCAAGCACTTTTCTACAAACATTTTCTTCACTCCTTTTAACTTTTCATAAGATTTTCGAAAAGTTTCAGTTGCATTGACCATGTCCTCGACAAATGTACTAAACATCCTTAATAGGTCATTCCTGTTTTTCTCAAGTTTTTCAATTTTCTTCGTTACTTTGGAACGCGTTTTGTTAATTTCATTAACAACATTATCTGCGTTGCGATATCTTTCATTTAATTTTGAATGTTCCTCTTCCAATGCCTTAAGTTGAACTTGAAGCTGATCTTTTTCGATTCTATCGCGTTCTTTCAGCTCACTTACTGACAATAAGAGCAATTCACGTACGTATTCATTAATTTCTTCAGAATTCGTCATTTTTCCTACAAAGCATTAATTTTACTATGACTTATATGCATTCTTCGTGTTTTTTATGTACTATAGACTTACCAGTTATTGTTCGACTTCTTTTTCAGGTATTAGAAACAGTTAATTACGATAAATTTAATTAAAACAACTTCTCATGAATTTTTTTTCACACGCGATATTTTTTGGACCACAAAATTTCAAACCTTTTTGAAAAAAATTACAAAAAAACCGTTGTTAATTCAAAATTTAAAAATCGGTTACATTTTGTGAAAATTTTAAGAAAGTTCGCTTTAAAAGACCATCTATTTTTTAAGAAAATACAGGACATTTGATAAATCTCCTAAAAAATACAGGACACAAAGTAAAATTTGAAAATTAACGTAAATTTTCGTGAAAAAAATACAGGACCTGAAACAAAATTTCCAAATTTATACAGGACTGTCCGTTGTAAAACTACGCAGATGGTCACCCTAGCTATAATTGATTTATTTTTTTATTAATAATGTTATTTTAAATAAATTTGGGAATTATGTACTTTAACGGCGACTTTTTAAAATGCATTTTAAACGTTTTTATCAGAGGTCGAAGCCGACATGAGTTCGCTCCGGTTCGCTAAAAAACCGATTCAAAATTGAATAGAATTTTTTCTGCTGCCACTTGTAAAGTATAACATTCTATACAAATTTACCGGTTATCGAATCGGTTTTTTAGCGAACCGGAGCGAACTCATGTCGGCTTCGACCTCTGGTTTTTATATTGTTTCTAATGTTTCTTGAAACCATTATCAGTTGATTTTAGGTGGCTAAAAAGCTCCATGAAAGCTTCCATAAGAGCTCTTTAGATATTTTTGATTAATCGGTCAAACTAGGGGGCCTCGTGGGAACCGGGGGTTCTCGGGTGGGGACCACAACATAAAAGCTCTTTTGGGGGGTCAAAAGCTTTCAAAAAATCTCTTTGAAAGCTCTCAAAAAAGCTCTATAAACGCTTTCAAAAAAAGCTCTATAAAAGCTTTCAAAAACGGGTACAAAGATTTTCTCCGAAAATCAATCAAACAAGTGGGTAAAAGGATTTTCTTCGAAAATCAATTTTCAGGTGAGTACAAGGATTTTCTTCGAAAATCTATTTTTCTGGTGGGTTTAAGGATTTTCTACGAAAATCTATTTTTCTAGTGGGTTTAAGGATTTTCTTCGAAAATCTATTTTACTAGTGGGTTCGGAAATTTTCTTCGAAAATCTATTTTTCTAGTGGGTTCAGCGATTTTCTTCGAAAATCTATTTTTCTAGTGGGTTCAAGGATTTTCTTCGAAAATCTATTTTTCCAGTGGGTTCTATATTTCAATTGGGTTCAAGCATTTTCTTCGAAAATCTAAGATTTAAATAGGGTTCGTTCACTTCTTACGTAACGCACTAGGGGGGGAGGGGGGTCTAAGATTTTGTTACGGTTTGTTACAGGGGGAGGGGGGGGTCTAAATTTTGTTACGTAACTTTTCAAAAATTATATTTTTTTTATCCAAAAGACTCTAATGCCCGCTTTGCTACTCTTTTTCAATGCATTTCTTTTACTGAATCATCTAGCATTCCGTACGATAAATACTGTCCATCGATTGGAGACATTATAAAAGAAAGGGTATGCATTGATTGTAATCATTACTGTGCTTCAATCGATATGTTAAAGAATCACCGAAAAATTATTCACAAACGTATAGTTAATATTAAGAAAAAACCAAGAAAAGTAATATGCAAAAGTGAAAAAGAAGTATTAGTACAATTGCAAGAGGATTTGGATTGGGTAGAAGCTGAGAACTTGGATATTGAAGAGGAACGTGCAAATACTGATATTATTGTTGAATATCAAAATGTATTTGCAGTTGAAGATCATTTTCAACCAATTTGGGAAAACGACTAATGATTACAAAACTTATGAGTTTTTTTGCGTTTAGTTAATAATATGGATGTAAACGATTAATATATTTTTTTATTGCTTTCCTTCTATTTACTTTTACATACTTAAAGGAAGTATAATAAACATTTGATAAACAATTTAAATGAATGGGGGGGGGGGGGGGGGTCTAAGATTTTGTTACGCTTTGTTACAGGGGGGGGGGGGGTCTAAAAACTCGTTTTTTTGCGTTACGTAATAAGTGAACGAGCCCATAGGGTTTATGGATTTTCTTCGAAAATCTATTTTTTCAGTGGGTTCTATATTTAAATAATAATAATCTTCTGACCTTCTGATTAGCCTTTACAACACTTTATTTTAACAAACGCTGAACCTGGTAGATCACAACACTATTATAGAACAAGCTTTTTTGAAAGCTTTTGACCCCCCAAAAAAGCTTTTATGTTGTGGTCCCCACCCGAGAATCCCTGGTTCCCACGAAACCCCCTAGTTTGACTGATTAATCAAAAAATATCTAAAGAGCTTTTTTGGAAGCTTTTATGGAGCTTTTTAAACTTTAGCCATAAATTTGAGCTATAACCAATGTGATTTACTTCCATAATTTAATAACACCATCACGACTACTCGATGCAATAAATGTTTGCTTTTGCGTTTTACACATAACGAGATCAGTAATAACGTCATTATGTCCAACAGATACATCTGGTCCAGCTTTTGTTGATTCATCCATTCCGCCGCGTGAGAGCGTTGAATTATGTGATGGTGATTGACTTCCGTTGTACGTCTCTTGAATGACGTATGTGCCATCAATCAGACGAGAACTGTGCATGAATAATTAATTGGATTAAATATAAGTTTAATTTTTTTTTTTTCTTATAAAAATGTCAAACTTACTCATATGAAATTGACGATGGAGAGTAGTCTTTGGGTGCAGGAACTACAAGTCGGCAGTTTGACGCATCTTGAAGATCCCAGTACCTTATTCTTTGATCAGTTCCAGCCGTTAATAAAAATCCACGACCATTATTTCGGCCCGGAAGTAAAGCACAGACTGAATGAGTTGTTGAATTCGTATTTGATAATGGTGGAGCTTGACTTGCCCAAAGTGCTGTTTGTCTAGAATTGGTCTCAATATTCCATGAAAAAACTTCGTTATTTCCTTGAGATGCTGAAATTAAGCATGATGGTTCTGTTGGATGCGGACAAACTCTTCTTATTCTTGACTCATGTGGATGCTTAATTTCAGCTATTTTAAGAAGGAATCTTAAATCCCAGCATAAATGTCGTCCACTACTAGTTCCAATTGTCAGCCATGAAGAATTTATTGGATCAATTGTAAAAGTTGTAATTACGCCGTTCCTTAAATCGCTTTGTAATCTCCACGAATTCATTGTTGATGGCATTCTTAAATCCCATCCAACAATAGCACCATAAAGTGTAGCATAAACAATTTGACTCTGATCTTTTGACTGCATTTCAACAACTGGTCCGTCATCTTGTTCTCTTGTTGTCCTTTCAATTCTTGCATTTGAGTCTAAATGACGTGCTTGCTGTAAAGCCATTTTACTAGAATTAGGATCAATTCTAAGAACTAGTAATGCACCATCTTTTCCAGCAACAGCTAAAGATTGACCATTATCACATGCAGCTACAGCATTTAGTGGAGTATTTGCAGCATAAAATTGTCTTGATCGATTAATATTCTGATGTCCATCAAGCTTAGAGCAATCCCAAAGTCTGACATAACCATCATTACTGACACTAGCAAAGCTTGTTCCTCCAGGCTTAAGTGTCGTCATTCTTGTCACAGCACCTCTATGCTCACTTAGATGAGCTACCAATGTTCCATTAAATTTCCAATTTGGCGAATTTCCATCATCGGCAAAAGCTTCATGTCGAATTGTCGTTTTTGAATGTTTAGTCTTGAGTCTTTGAAATAACTGGTCCAATTCAGTGCGACATTCAGCTAATCGTTCTTGCTGGAAACTACGTTCAGGCATGCTATATTCAACAAGTGATAAATTTGGAGTTTGTGTAATCATTGGCTGAGCATTTAAAGAGACTGTGTCAGGTAAAGGTGAAATTGATGGAAATTCTTGATTTAAAATCCAATCGACACTTGCTGATTCACTAATGCGCTGCTTTCGTCCCGTTATTATTGTCTCATTTTTGCCAATTATTCTATCACTCAGCATAAATTCGTGAAGATGATTAATGTGATTATTATCAAGTTGAATTCGTCCATCGACCATTCTTTGCGATATTCTTTCATGTGATCGATATTTAGCCATTTTTATCAGATGTTGATTCAAAGATAATAATTGCATCTCGACCAGATCACTCATTCCTTCTATTGAGGCTAGTCTTCGGAAGAACTGTTGTAAAATTAAGAAAAATTTGTATTTAACATTCTTTTTTTTGACTTATACAATAATTCACAAATTAAATTTTGAAATATAAAAAAAAAAAAGTTAAAACTTACAGTTCTCATCGATTGAATCATTTCTCCATATTTTGGTATTCCATCATGACCAGCCTTTGCTCTTGCCTGCTTTCTCTCTTTCAGAATATCAATAAATTTCGGAATATCATTAAATTTAAGAACAGTCTCATAGACACTTCGAGGAATTGAAGGATTTAAGCAATCCAACAGCAATTCGATTTTTTCAAGCTGAATCAAAGGACATTTAAGATGTGGTGCTACTGAAGGCATTATTTTACACTGAACATCTAGTGGTGTTAGAATTTTCGCTGCCATTGATATTAAGCCACAAATTTCATGACGAATCCATAAGTTTGGATGATTTAGGAAACAAGCGATCTCATTAATAAAGTCTATTAGGCTTGTCTTTTGTAATAATCCTAGTTCCGTTAATGATGCTGTAGCACGAATTGCTTTAGAAATAACAAATTCTTCTGGGTCACTAAAACCTTGTTGAAGTAAAGGAATCAGAATTGGAGAACAATGCCATCCTACATATGTAGCAATTCCTACTATACAGTCAAAAAATGTCCCACGAAGATTCTTGTCGTCCTTCTCATTCAAGGAATTTAGAAATGTGATAACATGTGACAGAATAATGTCATTTGCTATTAAAATAGAAAAGAATGATTGAACCAAATCGAAGAATATTAAGATATTATAGTCACCTTTTTGACTGCCAAAGAAGACACACAACTTGTTAATTCCAGATTCCATTAAAGTCTGTTTAACAACAACTTGAGAATCTGTCAGTAAACTCATCACCGTGGTTGACAACATTTCATGCAAATCATGTAATTCTGTCTCATAATTCGGAATCGGACCATCCATAGTTCCTAACTGTGACTGTTCTAAAAACTTTACAGCTGTTTCCGCTAAAATCGCAATATTTTGTGCATAGGATATTCGAACAATTGTCGCTGAATCTACAGCTAAATTAGATATTGCAGGAAGAACATATTCAGGAAATATATTAGCATCTGAGCGAGGTAGTCTAGTTACTAAGCATAAACATTGAGTTAAGGTATCTAAAGCAGATACTCGAACATTCGGTGATGAATCTTGACATAAATGAAGCTGAAATTGATATTAAAAAAAAAAAAATCATAATTAACAGCACTTAGTAACTATGCAGCATGATACTCACAATGTAAGGTAAAATTCTATCCAAAATGGTCTCTGAACTTGTGTACTGAGCTAATTTAAAGAGAATTTCAAGACAATGAATTTTAGATGAACAATGATTCAATCCACGTATGCAGGAAACCACCAAAGTCGTTATTAGAATGAGTCCATCATCCTCTAATTTATCTTTGGTTATAATATCAATTATTTGCGTCACATCTGAATGTAGCCTCATAATTTTGTCATCATTAGGAACAATTGGGATTGAACTGAATGTTATTGGTATATAAGATTGAAGGAATGAGTAGAAATATTCAGGAAATAATCGTCCACGTTCCATGTCTAGGTAAATTTCGGCTGATTTTCGATCTTTTGGATTTATGCTGAGCATTGATGACAGCAAATCCCTTAAATTCTCGTCTTCTAAAGCGTTGAGATGTCTATTGACCAATTGATTTTCTCCGTTCCTATATGTCAGCAATTGTGAGAATTCGAAAGGTGCAGTTCCGATTCCTTCTGTCCATAATTCTAATAAAGCACATCCAGCTGAAAATATATCCATTTCTGGTACTAAATTTCCCGAATTTGATGTGCTATCACCGACTAACGGATTATTGCTATCTGAAGTGAAGCTTTTGGTGAATCTTTCGGGTGCAATATAGCAAGTTCTTCGTCTGCTCGTGTCAAAAAAGTAGCTGTAATCAGCTGGATTATCATCAGGTAAAAATGTTGGTTTAAATGACGCAAAATCTGACAATAATATCCAGTTCCACGATGTGATCAATATGTTCTCTAACTTAATGTCGCCATGACATATCTTTTGCTTATGACATTGATGTAAAGCACATAGCACTTGAAATGTAATCCATTTTTTCTCTATTAACGTTAGAAAAGGTCTTGTTGACATTCTATCGTATAAACTATGCTTAACATACTCCCTTATTATTATGCCTGTTTTTTCAGTCAACTAAAAATTAATTGAAATATTTGAAAAGATGAAAAAATCAATAAAAACTGATCTGGATCTTACGATTGCTTTTTGAAATGGTAAACAATTTACAGCATTCTGAAGTCCTTTCTTAATTGATTCGATTTTTTCAGCATGAATTTCGAGAGGTAAACTTGGATCATGTTTCACAAAGACTTTTACGACAATCAAACCTTCATCGGACTTTCCACGAGCTACTTTGAAGAATCTCGTACATCCCATACTTAACTCAAACTGGATCTCATTTTCCATGCCAAGGAAATAATGCTCGACTGGAAAAATTTGGATGGGTGCTGTAGATAGCTGATTCCCCATCTTAAAAGTAAACAATGGATAAATTTTCTTTTTGTTTGATGAAAAACTTTAAAAATAAAACTCACTTATTTCGTTTGTTTCACAATGAATCAGCTCAACTTCGTATGGAAATTTTAGATCTTGCGACCAACTGATTCTCTTTATGGCTTTAAATGTTGTTTAATGGACAATTAAAGAAATATATTATTAAATTTTACAATGACAATTTTTAAATTGTTTTTGTTTTGAATAAAAATTTGAAATTCATTTTACCGTTAAGCTTTTCATCATTTTTCCAATACTTATTACTAAAAGTCATAATTTTATCGAATTAATAAAACAGTACACATATTTATTTAATTAATTTAAAATGCATTGTGTTACAATTTATGATTAAAATGGAGACCACATGTTTAAAATCCTGTGTAGATATTATAAAATTAAAAATTTGTACTCTGATTCATTAAAATTAACACCGAAAATCGGAAATAAAGTACGACTTTTTTCAATAACAATTAATTTAACTTAATTAACTTGTAGTTTTCTTTTTCTCTTTTGTTGTGATGAAAAATTTTCATTTTTTGAACTAATAGTTCTTAATGATACATGATTAAAATTTTAGTAGCCTCCATGTATCTGAATAATTTGGTGTCAAATCGACTCAATAATAGACACAGACTGACACAGACTTATGAATTATGCATCCTCTTGATGTGGGCAATTAAATATCTCTTTAGATTTCCCTTAAAATTACATCCTTCTTTCGTACACACATGCTGATTATTCGCATGAATGCCACGATGCTTTGTAAGCTTATTCTTGGTGTTAAATATCTTTTTACAGACATCACATTCGTAGGATTTGGCCAGTCCAAGATGAATTGTCTCGTGTTGTTGGAGTAAAAAATTGAAATGAAATTTTTTGGTACAGTAGTTGCAATGATACTTTGGATCTTCCTTCGAGTGATATACTCTAAAATTAAAGATAAAAATAAAAGGTAAATTTTAGAATTAGTGCGAAATATACTCACCGATGATTGTAGAGAGCTGATTTCGTTTTGTATGTCTTATCGCATAGGTCACATTTAAATGATCTGACATTATTCGAGTGCTTATTGCGTATGTGATTCATCAAAGTCTGTTTTAAGCCAAAACTCCTTTGACATTGATCGCATTGGAACCTCTTTCGATTAAAATGTGCCTGTTCTTGATGATAAAGTCTTCCAGATCGATTACTGAATAATTTTGGACAATAATGGCATTTTTTCAAGTATTTGACATTGGAGCCTGAAGCCTCTTTTAGGAGATTCCGTCTCTCTTTTGGACTTGTATCATCGGAATCCATATCCTTTGCCTTATTACTTTCTGCATTTTCCTGTGCAACTTCTTCATCTTTATTGCTCTCAACTTCTTGCTCAACAATTTCAACATTCTGACCATCATCTCTCATTTCCCTTAAATGCTGCATCATGTGCTCAATGAGACAGTTTCGGTCAATAAAATTATCACAAGTTTCACAATGAAATACTAGATCAATATGTGCAGATTTAAGATGCTCATTTAATTCACTTAATGTAGCTATTGGCGGATGTGGTTGACAAAACTCACAATTATATATTTGACTAGGACCACCAGCAATATCGTCTAATTGTGTCATGGCTAAAATTCTTTAAATTAACATAATTATTTTTTACCTTAATTTAAGGATAAAGGGGGAAGTGTGAAAAAGCTGTGCCATGTTTAGCATGCAATTTACCTATCAATATCCTTGGCCAGATCTGTTTCAATAGAAAGTGATTTATCACTTCCATCATCTTGTGTTGCCTCAAAATTTATTCTTAACTTATTTCCTTCATTCAGCATTAATGTATCGGCTAGTTCTGCTTGTTCTTCCTCTTCCCGCCGATTTTTTTCCAACAGTTTCTGGATCTTTTCATTTGAGTGTACTGCCGTTGAATATAGATTATCAAATGCTTTTAGCGTATCTGAACATGAGCAACATATGTTTGTGATGAGATCCTCCTCTGTTATCTACAAAAATTGACTTAATTAAGATGAAAAAAATTAAATTTATGTAAATTTACTTTAATTGGTAAATATGTATTAATCTTGTCTTTCAAATCCTCTTCGAATATCGAAAATAGCTTATCATTTTGATCAAGACATAGCCGACAGCAGAGATTTACTGCTGAACCCATTTTTTTCTATTAAATTAAACAATTTTTCGCAATTTTATTTACAATACAGGAAGTCTACGTCTTTGATAACTTTGATTGCCATAATAAATCTCTAGTTTAAAGCAACAATTCAAACCAAGGACCACTGGATATAGGATTAGACACTCAAATATTTGTGGGATGTAATAAGTTGGTAATAAGAGGGGAAGAGCTTCAGAATAGCAAGCTAGTTACATAAATAAATATTACTGCTTTAAGCAGCTGAATATACTGAGTATTAAAAAGATCATTGTAGATACTGAGCCTTAAATTGTCAAAGTTGCGTGCCCAGTTTTGTCAGCTGCTAACCTCACCTTGCACATTTCGTTTGTTTACAAAAGTTGAATTAAGTTTATCATGGATAATTTGGCTGATTTAAATTGTTTTGAAACTTTTCTAACACTTCATGCAGGACAGTTAAAGGCATCGGGAGTTCCAGATATATATTATAAAGCATTGTTTCAAAAAGTTCACTCACAAATTTTTGATGGCGGTGAAGTAAATAATTGAACAAATAAACTTAATTATCTCATTAGTCTAATAATTCTAATATGTTTAGTACTTTCAACTGCTTTTATTGGATTATGGAGATGAGGAAAGAGGAGAAAAAGATCCAGTATTTACCGTGGTTTCGTTGCAAGATATAAAGACCGACTGTCCAAACTGTATCTTTTTACTCGATCATCAAATCACGTTCAAACTAGACAGCATACGTAAGGAACTAATTGAAAATCCTTCGATTGTACATAGATTATCATCAATGATGGGATTGCCAGATAAATACGATATTGACAATGTTTTAGAGAGTATATGGAAGTATTGCAACTTTTACTCTATTAATGCTCAAGGTAAGCAAAAATGTGCGATTAGCTCAAGATACGAATTAACAAGTGCTTTAAAATAAAGGTGCACCAGTTGAAGAAACCCTTCCTATGTGGTACATAAATGATGAACTTGGATCAGCAGTTTTGCATAGCGACGAACCTAATTTTAGGATAGTTCCATTTATTCATGCACCGACACAATTGACTTACAGCTTGTTATATCCAATCGTTGACGTCGAAAAAGGAGATCAGATTACAAGAGACTTTATTGAGAATGTAATGGTTAATCGAGAATTGATGCTGTTACCTTGGCAAGAGCATAACTTTTCAGACGAATCTTTCGTACAGAAGGAACCAGAAAGGTCATACTTCCTTCAAGGAAGAATTGAAGAATCGTTACCAGAAGATGGCACAAATTCCCCAATAATTGATCGTAATCAGCCATTAAAAGTTTTCACGGACTATGAATTTGTATCGAAATATCTGACCGATGATGTCTTTGAAATTGTAGAGGAGTCAGAAAAAGCTCAAATTCTATGGCTTACAAAGCATTTTAAAGGATTTAAAGAATTAAGCGAAGAGTTCCCAAACACATTCATAAATCAATTTCCATTCGAAAATGTCGTGACTATTAAGGACATTTTAGCCGTTGTATGTCGCAGATCAATTGAAAAACATCATGATCCGGAAACTCTTGAAACGTATCCAAACTGGCTTCCAACGACGTTTAATTTGAAGACAGAATTGAAGGAATTTGTCAGCTATTATCAGCAAAGAGGTGCAAAAGAATTGGACAATTACTGGATCATTAAGCCATTCAATTTAGCAAGAAGCTTGGACACTACCATTACAAATAATCTCTCACAAATCATTAGATTGTCTCAGACAGGTCCGAAAATTGCACAAAAATATATCAGCAACCCGGTGTTGTTTTATCGACCTGATGCCGATGGAAAAGTCAAATTTGATGTTCGTTATGTCATTTTATTATCAAAAGTAAAGCCATTGGAAGTTTATGTTTATAAAAAGTTCTTTCTACGTTTCAGCAACATCCCATTCTCAATGTGTGAATTTGATGTGTATGAAAAGCACTTTACAGTCATGAATTATGGCGAAAAATTGATCCTAAAACATATAAAGTGCGAAAATTTTGTAAATTTATGGAAGGAACAATACGAAAATAATCAATGGGATGGAATTGAAGACGAGATATGTAGCATGCTGAAGCAAGTTTTCATTAATGCGACGATAGAAAAACCACCTTGTGGAATCGCTGATAATCCGCAAAGTCGTGGACTGTATGCTGCCGATATCATGTTAAGTCATGAAAATGGCAAATTCCAACCAAAACTTCTTGAAATTAATTTCGTACCAGACATGAAACGAGCATGCGAATACTATAATGACTGCTACAACGACATCTTTAAGCTCCTGTTTTTGGGTGAAGAAAACGAAGTTTTCAGGCGAATTTAATCTTAAACTAGTGTATCGGGTAGGAACCCAATGCGGATATATTCACACCGTACCATCAAAAGTCTTATGGATAGACCAAGATTTGCTCAGCATAAGTTTGAAAGTTGGGCATGAAGTAAGGCCGAGACCCATAAAGACACAGTTCAAAAGTTATACCTAATTTATGTTATAATTATGTCAGCTACAAAAACACTTAGTTTGAAGTTTGTCACCCTCGGGAACACTATGAACCAGTATAGCTGAATTTGGTCTAAATCTCGGCCATACTTCACACTTATTTGAAGCACATTTTCTCGTAAATGTTAAAATATTATTAAAAAGTAATTAATCCTGAATTATGTCGCTATTTTGTCAAGTGTTTTAAGATAAAGAATTTGTTTTTTGGTTTCCACAGTGAAGAGTATGTACAAAATTCAGATAGATGGGGTAGTCGAAATTTTAGATTTCGATTTTTTTAAGCTATGCATTACAAAAAGTAATATTGGTATGTGATTTACATATGTCACAATTATGTCAATTCATTCAAAACATCTTAAAATTTTTTTGAGCAAAGAACCAAGTAGGAAATACATTTTCAATTTTGGACTTGGGACAGGTCTAGTCAAAATCTAGTTTTTCACTTTTTTTTTCTTCGAGGATAAATCCAAATACAGTAAAACTATGTATGAGCATTCTAATCCTCAGGTCACACATTTCTGAATTAATAAAAATCATTTTTTTGGACGAAGTCACGTTGTTTTTGAATGTACAACCAAATTTATAAAATTTGGGTCTGACGAGATATAAAATACATTTCTTCCTTTAGCTATTTAAAACTGTTTTGTATAAATATTAGTATACTCATTCAAAGTTTCACTGTAATTGGATAAACCTTCGAAGAAAAAAAGTAAAAAATAGATTTTGACTAGACCTGTCCCAAGTTCATAATTGAAAATGTATTTCCTACTTGGTTCTTTGCTCAAAAAAATTTTAAGATGTTTTATTTGTATTTGTTTTAAGCACTTAAATATTTATGCAAAGTTTCAATCCATTTGGATAAACCCTCGAATAAAAAAGTGAGAAAATTGATTTTGACTAGGGTCGCCCCTAGTCCAAAATTGAAAATGTATTTCCTACTTGGTTCTTTGCTCAAAAAAATTTTAAGATGTTTTATTTGTATTTGTTTTAAGCGCTAGAATATTTTTGCAAAGTTTCAATCCATTTGGATAAACCCTCGAAGAAAAAAGTGACAAAAGGGTCGCCCCTAGTCCAAAATTGAAAATGTATTTCCTACTTGGTTCTTTGCTCAAAAAAATTTTAGGATGTTTTATTTGTATTTGTTTTCAAGCACTAGAATATTTATGCAAAGTTTCAATCCATTTGGATAAACCCTCGAAGAAAAAAGTGAGAAAATTGATTTTGAGTAGGGTCGCCCCTAGTCCAAAATTGAAAATGTATTTCCTACTTGGTTCTTTGCTCAAAAAAATTTTAGGATGTTTTATTTGTATTTGTTTTCAAGCACTAGAATATTTATGCAAAGTTTCAATCCATTTGGATAAACCCTCGAAGAAAAAAGTGACAAAATTGATTTTGACTAGGGTCGCCCCTAGTCCAAAATTGAAAATGTATTTCCTACTTGGTTCTTTGCTCAAAAAAATTTTAGGATGTTTTATTTGTATTTTTTTCAAGCACTAGAATATTTATGCAAAGTTTCAATCCATTTCGATAAACCCTCGAAGAAAAAAGTGACAAAATTGATTTTGACTAGGGTCGCCCCTAGTCCAAAATTGAAAATGTATTTCCTACTTGGTTCTTTGCCCAAAAAAGTTTTAAGATGTTTAATTTGTATTTGTTTTTAGCACTTAAATATTTATGCAAAGTTTCAATCCATTTGGATAAACCCTCGAAGAAAAAAGTGACAAAATTGATTTTGACTAGGGTCGCCCCTAGTCCAAAATTGAAAATGTATTTCCTACTTGGTTCTTTGCTCAAAAAAATTTTAGGATGTTTTATTTGTATTTTTTTCAAGCACTAGAATATTTATGCAAAGTTTCAATCCATTTCGATAAACCCTCGAAGAAAAAAGTGACAAAATTGATTTTGACTAGGGTCGCCCCTAGTCCAAAATTGAAAATGTATTTCCTACTTGGTTCTTTGCTCATAAAAATTTTAAGATGTTTTATTTGTATTTGTTTTAAGCACTAGAATATTTATGCAAAATTTCAATCCATTTGTATAAACCCTCGAAGAAAAAAGTGACAAAATTGATTTTGACTAGGGTCGCCCCTAGTCCAAAATTGAAAATGTATTTTCTGCTTGGTTCTTTGCTCAAAAAAATTTTAGGATGATTTATTTGTATTTGTTTTAAGCACTAGAATATTTATGCAAAGTTTCAATCCATTTGGATTAACCCTCGAAGAAAAAAGTGAGAAAATTGATTTTGAGTAGGGTCGCCCCTTGTCCGAAATTAAAAATGTATTTCCTACTTGGTTCTTTGCTCAAAAAAATTTTAAGATGTTTTATTTGTATTTGTTTTAAGCGCTAGAATATTTTTGCAAAGTTTCAATCCATTTGGATAAACCCTCGAAAAAAAAGTGACAAAATTGATTTTGACTAGGGTCGCCCCTAGTCCAAAATTGAAAATGTATTTCCTTCTTGGTTCTTTGCTCAAAAAAATTTTAGCATGTTTTATTTGTATTTGTTTTAAGCACTTGAATATTTATGCAAAGTTTCAATCCATTTGTATAAACCCTCGAAGAAAAAAGTGAGAAAATTGATTTTGAGTAGGGTCGCCCCTTGTCCGAAATTAAAAATGTATTTCCTTCTTGGTTCTTTGCTCAAAAAAATTTTAAGATGTTTTATTTGTATTTGTTTTAAGCACTAGAATATTTATGCAAAATTTCAATCCATTTGTATAAACCCTCGAAGAAAAAAGTGACAAAATTGATTTTGACTAGGGTCGCCCCTAGTCCAAAATTGAAAATGTATTTTCTGCTTGGTTCTTTGCTCAAAAAAATTTTAGGATGATTTATTTGTATTTGTTTTAAGCACTAGAATATTTATGCAAAGTTTCAATCCATTTGGATTAACCCTCGAAGAAAAAAGTGAGAAAATTGATTTTGAGTAGGGTCGCCCCTTGTCCGAAATTAAAAATGTATTTCCTACTTGGTTCTTTGCTCAAAAAAATTTTAAGATGTTTTATTTGTATTTGTTTTAAGCGCTAGAATATTTTTGCAAAGTTTCAATCCATTTGGATAAACCCTCGAAAAAAAAGTGACAAAATTGATTTTGACTAGGGTCGCCCCTAGTCCAAAATTGAAAATGTATTTCCTTCTTGGTTCTTTGCTCAAAAAAATTTTAAGATGTTTTATTTGTATTTGTTTTTAGCACTTAAATATTTATGCAGAGTTTCAATCCATTTGGATAAACCCTCGAAGAAAAAAGCGAAGAAGACTAGGGTCGGCCCCTAGTCCAAAATTGAAAATGTATTTCCTTCTTGGTTCTTTGCTCAAAAAAATTTTAGCATGTTTTATTTGTATTTGTTTTAAGCACTTGAATATTTATGCAAAGTTTCAATCCATTTGGATAAACCCTCGAAGAAAAAAGTGACAAAATTGATTTTGACTAGGGTCGCCCCTAGTCCAAAATTGAAAATGTATTTCCTACTTGGTTCTTTGCTCATAAAAATTTTAAGATGTTTTATTTGTATTTGTTTTAAGCACTAGAATATTTATGCAAAATTTCAATCCATTTGTATAAACCCTCTAAGAAAAAAGTGACAAAATTGATTTTGACTAGGGTCGCCCCTAGTCGAAAATGTATTTCCTTCTTGGTTCTTTGCTCAAAAAAATTTTAGGATGTTTTATTTGTATTTGTTTTAAGCACTAGAACATTTATGCAAAGTTTCAATCCATTTGTATAAACCCTCGAAGAAAAAAGTGAGAAAATTGATTTTGACTAGGGTCGCCCCTAGTCCAAAATTGAAAATGTTTTTCCTACTTGGTTTTTTGCTCAAAAAAAATTTAGGATGTTTTAATTGTATTTGTTTTAAGCACTAAAATATTTATGCAAAGTTTCAATTCATTTGGATAAACCCTCGAAGAAAAAAGTGAGAAAATTGATTTTGACTAGGGTCGCCCCTAGTCCAAAATTGAAAATGTATTTCCTACTTGGTTCTTTGCTCAAAAAAATTTTAGGATGTTTTATTTGTATTTTTTTCAAGCACTAGAATATTTATGCAAAGTTTCAATCCATTTGTATAAACCCTCGAAGAAAAAAGTGACAAAATTGATTTTGACTAGGGTCGCCCCTAGTCCAAAATTGAAAATGTATTTTCTACTATGTTCTTTGCTCATAAAAATTTTAAGATGTTTTATTTGTATTTGTTTTAAGCACTAGAATATTTATGCAAAATTTCAATCCATTTGGATAAACCCTCGAAGAAAAAAGTGACAAAATTGATTTTGACTAGGGTCGCCCCTAGTCCAAAATTGAAAATGTATTTTCTGCTTGGTTCTTTGCTCAAAAAAATTTTAGAATGATTTATTTGTATTTGTTTTAAGCACTAGAATATTTATGCAAAGTTTCAATCCATTTGGATTAACCCTCGAAGAAAAAAGTGAGAAAATTGATTTTGAGTAGGGTCGCCCCTTGTCCAAAATTAAAAATGTATTTCCTACTTGGTTCTTTGCTCAAAAAAATTTTAAGATGTTTTATTTGTATTTGTTTTAAGCACTTGAATATTTATGCAAAGTTTCAATCATTTGGATTAACCCTCGAAGAAAAAAGTGAGAAAATTGATTTTGAGTAGGGTCGCCCCTAGTCCAAAATTAAAAATGTATTTCCTACTTGGTTCTTTGCTCAAAAAAATTTTAAGATGTTTTATTTGTATTTGTTTTTAGCACTTAAATATTTATGCAAAGTTTCAATCCATTTGGATAAACCCTCGAAGAAAAAAGTGACAAAATTGATTTTGACTAGGGTCGCCCCTAGTCCAAAATTGAAAATGTATTTCCTACTTG